CTTTCTGTTTATTTGCCCTGTGGGTAACTGCTGTTATGTAATTTTTCTTTCTTTCTTTCTTTCTTTCTCTCTTTCTCTCTTTCTTTCTTTCTTTCTCTCTTTCTTTTTTTCTTTTTTCATTCTTTTTCTTCTTTCTTTTTCCTTCTTTCTGCCTGTCTGTCTTTCTTTCTTTCTGTCTTTCTTTTGTCTGCTCCTTCGTCCGTTCATTTGTTCTTCAATTTGTTTGTTCTTTCATTTGTTTGTACTTTTTCTTCTTTTTTCTTTTTTCATCTATCTTTTTTCTTTCTCTTTCTCCTTCCTCCATTCCTGCCTTCCTACTTATCTTCCTTCCTTGCTTCCTTCACCTTCTTTCGATTGTTTTTTGGGGGGGGGTTTCTAGTTGCTGACTGAGTGAATCTCTAACTCTCTCCTCCCCCCTCCCCCAATTAGGTGTCTGGCTGCACCCATCTCAAAGAAGAGCTGGAGCTGCTGAGACACCAGAACAAACAGCTCAACGACCGCCTGCACGAGCTTGGCTACCCGGCCGAGCAGATCACAGACTCGGAGAAACTCCTCCTTAAGTTCTCCACAGGCCCCGCCTCTTCCTCCGCCCCCAACACAGGCTCCACCTCCAAGGGCCAGGAAAGCCAATCAGACACTGAGTGTTTACCCAAAAGTACTAGTTGTGACAGCCTGTCCACTGATGGAGGCGGGGCGAAAGGCGGTCTTCCTCACTCCCTCTCCTCCTCCCATCACAACAACCACCACCACATAGCTCCGCCCACATTCTCCTCCGCATCCCTCCCGCCTCCTTCCACATCGTCCTCCTCACACCTCCTCACCGGCTCGTCGGGGCCCATCCTTATCCCAGGTTCCTCCTCCTCTCACCACCATGACGACCACGCCCACCACCACAAAGACTCATCCTCTGGACACCTTGTCATCGGAGAGGGCGGGGCTTCCGAGCTGCGTCGCTCCACCTCCCTGTCGGCCTCAGAGCCGGGCCTGTCCCTCCCGGACCTGTGCGGCACGCCCGACCACCCGTCGGTGCTGTCGCTGGAGGGCGCCAACTGGGACAAACAGAGCAACAAGTCGGCCAACAGTGACGGCGGATTGAGCGAGGCTTCTGTGGCCTGCCTCACGGAGCGCATCCTGCAGATGGAGGAGACCAACTACTCCACCACGGAAGAGCTGCAGGCCACGCTGCAGGTAATGTTAAAACGAGTTGTCCAAAAAAACAAAAAAAAAATGGTGGTGGGAGCAGTCAAAAAGAAAAAAAAGAAATGGTGTGTGTGTGTGTGTGTTTGTGTGTATTTCGTTGGTTTTGTTGATTTTTTATTTTTTGGGGGGGAGGGGGGAGTGATCGTGTGTCCTATTTTGATGAAATAATGTAGTAACACATAATAATGTTAGTTAAGTAAACATGTTCTTAATATTTGATGCAGATGTTAGACCTTGTTATGGCGGAAAATTACTTGGAAGTTGCTGTAATTGCCTGTCCTGAAGGAAGATGGCAGTATATGTTCAGATATATGCAGCTAATGATGGTGTTGGTGATGATGATGGGGG